TATATATATATATATTTATTTAAAGTAAGAATTTTGTGTGTATTATTACAACATTTATAGATAGTTTCAGCAACTAGATTTCAGTCTGTAGGAGAAAAAAAAAAAAGATAATTTTCGACATTCTTATACAGTATTAAATATTTTATTATACTGAGAGTTGCTGACGATTGCAAATAATCCGTCTTTAGTGTTATAAATAGTTAATTAATAATAAAAAGAGCCGATAAATTCGTCTACCATTGGGAAAATGACAGTCTACCACTTGTCTATCTGTCGGCGCGATTAATAAATTGTCAGGATTAAAAGGGTTCACGATCATAATAAATGCACTGTGCCCGGAGGTTGGATTTGACGTAAATCGGTAAAACTGGAGTGAAATTTTCACACACTCTCGATAGTCTCGAGCGTGTTCGTTTGCACTTCTATTTTATCCCCTTGTCGTCGCCTGATTAATGTGGATTACAGCAGACTAGAAAGAATAAGGACTCTGTATTTGATCGCGCGAATTACATCGGGGGGAATATAAATTTATGGACTAACACACTGTAGCGTGTTGCCTGGACACGAGTAACAGGTTATAAATATCGAATCGGGTACAAACGCCATTTCATTTATCCATAAAATTTTCCGATATAGATAAATTATGCAGCATCGGAAATATGCCAATAATAGCAACGGATTAATTTAGATCATTTACAAGCCTTTATGGTTTCACTTCTACATCGCTTATTGCTCTTTTTAATCTGATGAATAACTTATTTGTGAAATAAATATTCTAGTGCTCGTTTATTGTCAAGCAGAAATATCTAATTTTTGCATCGAAATGATTCAAAACAGATACGTAATTATTTCGCCAATCAAATCTGTTGTCGATTATAATAAATATTTTGTGTTTTCTATTATTGACTCTTACTAACATTAAGTGTAATAAAGTGTGTTGTGCGAATATGCAGTCTTTTATTTTAATTAATTTAATATATTTTAACGTAGTCTCTGAAAAGTAAACTAACAAGCATAAATACTTATACACATTTCTAATAGCTAATAATAACATTTTAATTTTTAATAATAACATTTCTCGTTTACCAATGCATTCAGACAATACGTAAAAAGAGACATGTGACATTAAAGACTTTTAAAAAACGTCTTAAAGATATTTTTTAAAAGACATCTTTGAAACGTATGTTTCGATTTTGGATTTTTTGTTGTTTTATATAAGTGTTGTATACAATATAAGATGAAAAAAAAGATAATTATATAACAATAATAATAATGAACATAATAAATTATTATGTTCTATTTTATATAAAATACTTTTTTTTTTAATATTGATTTATTGAATATAATATTTAATAGTAATTTTTTTTTATTAAGAATTAGGTAAAAGACAACGCGTGTCTGACGAAAAATAATGATATGTGATAAGTGAAGATAACATTGCTTTTGATCTTTTCCCGCTCAAAGGTATAATATGGCTATCCACGTTTATCGGCTAATTGAAATTTTCAAAGGTAATCATTTACCGGATTGGATTAAAAATGGAATAATTGCTGGGGATCAAAGAAAGCTATTTTCTACCGCTCAAATACCGCAATGGATTCTATTGTGGCATCTACATCATTGCATATATACGATTCATCCTTTTTTTTTAAATCACGTTCAGCAAATAAACTAACAATCGAGAAATTCGAGAAATTTCATTGAGAAAATATAATCGAAAAATTATTATCGTTTTTTAATTTCTAATATATTTTTGAAATTAAATCTGTTGGAAAAGGAAAATAAAATTTTTCAGTAATTTTAGTAATTTAAAAATTACTAAAATTTATCGGAGTGAAGGTGAGGACGGATTTTGGCGAAATTTTTCGGGAAAGTGCTTCTAAAATGTGTTTCTCGATGCCGGGAATCAATTTTCGTCGTCGGTATATATCTTTTTCGAGACACCTCATAGACGCGGCGATGAAGGCTCGAAGTAGATGATGCTTCCTTCCTCCGTCTGTATCTGTCGATTGCCAATATCTCGGCAAGACGGCAAGAGACGGCGGGATCGAACAAGTAGGATTCTTGGTTCCGATAAGAGTTAGTGCTCACTTGTTGACCCGCTTCGACGATCGTAACTTATCGAGATACAAGACCGACGATTGAGAGAAACGACGTGTGGCCAGACATTGAGAGGATTTATCGAGAGGTCTTTTTTAATAATATCACACGCACGAAGATTTTTATGGCGTTTGCGATAGATCACATGACATGTCAACGCTTTAGTGATTTTCAGTTAGACATTTAACTGATTTTTAGCGACGAAAACTCGCAGTCGATTAAGTATCAACGGTTCGTATCTCACCGACAATTTATATCATATTACGACACTCGATTCGTCAAGAGTTATTACACTCAGAGAAAAACATAGTGACAACTATACAAGTTTTATATGTAGAATGTACTGAAAGAAACGCTCCAGATGACATGGTCAATGTACAACAGCATTAATAAATATTGCAGTATACAAAAGATTAATAACGCCAACTTAAATTGAAATCAAAGTCGTCTTCTAAAGTCGTTTTTAATTAGAACAAACTATTTTATAATTGCAACAACTGTAAAATAATTGAACTATGTACGGAAAGAATCGTTTTGCAGAATTCAGTATTTAAAAATTTAACTAGATACATTTCTGAAAATAATTCTATTGGACCATCAAAGTAATTATGTAATAATTTTAAGAATAATGAGCAATGTTGCAAGAAGTTTCGATATTCTAGCAGTTTGAGTGATCTACATGATTATTTTGAGACTCCGACAAAAATTATTTTCAGTTTTTTAGATTTGTATCTTCAGTTAAATTTTTAGATACTTCAGTAAAATCATTCTTTCCATGTATATTAATTCTGCATAAATATAAAATTTGTATATTTGTCATCTTTATACATAGTTGTTGTTTGTCTTTTTTTTTTGAACATATAAAAGAATTCATAATCGAACTGGATAACTCTCTATAGTAGTTCATACACAGTGCTATTACTCACTGATCAATGTTACGCTAAGTATCGCATGGCAAGTAAATTTTCTGTTTTGCAGTTTGCTTGCAAATCATCGTTAGGCATTTCGACTCATCGTTTGGCATGATCCGATTGGATTGCGCGCGCTCGCGTAGTCGAGTAGAATTATAGACGCAGTGCGCTGGCCAATGCCGATCCGTTACAACGAATAGCTACAGATAGAACCGATAATGAATTGGAATTGTTCGGAAACTGCATAGGCGCTTTAGCAACAACGCGAATACGCCGTTTACTACAGTTGCGCACATAGTTATTCGAATAATATGTTTCGATAATTGGAGGCTTTTACATGTGGGTCCAATTGGAATTGCCCATTTCTATGCCAATGACAAGTCTCTCTTCGGTAAAGTTAGCCTGTCATATTTGCCGCGGCGAGCGTCTTTGTTTAAGTTGGATTGCTTCCTTTGATACCTAATTGCTTGCAATTTCAATATCATTCTTAGTCACAGGTCGTAAATTCGTTGCATCTAAATAGTTTTGACCTTGAAAACTTTGCAGCGAGTTGATGTTAATCTTTTTATCATGATAAAAGAATCAAGATTTATTTAAACGAAACGATTTTCTCTTAGCAATATTTTGAATCTGATTTGTCAGCGAAAATGTTTATTTATTCCAACATTTTAGTATTCTCTATAGTGGCAACGATTTTACAACGTATTATTAAAAGGATGTTATATCTCTGTTGCTTCGATTTTTGATAAAATAATGTGTTTTTGATCCATGAATGTGCGACGTAACATGAATTAACATAGAAATTGCGAGAAGATACTAAAATGCAGAAACAGATGGTGCGGTTCTGCTAAAAAAGTGGGACGGAAATAACAGCCAACGGAGAGAAACGGCGGAGAGCAACTACCTAATGAATGCCATGTTGAATTTACCTGTGCACCGACGAGGCCAGCGCGTAATCTAGGGATGTCCGTGTGACTCCAGTCTGATCTGGCCCATGGGTCAACCCTGCCGAGATCGCTGCTCAGGTTGACTTCGCCAAGTTGATTGTGTACGAACTTTCTAACGTTCCAGGGCAAATCGTTGTGCCTGCAAATTGGAAATAGTTTTAATAATATTACGTGCAACATATATAATATATATTTTTACTAAGAAACATTTCTGGTTGAAAATGAAAGAATCAGGAGATTCTGATTATATCAGAATTCTGATTATATCAACCAGATTTATAAGATTCAACTAGAAAATTTTGATTTGTTCATTTTCAGTCAAAATTTTAATTAATGCAATCAAACTCTTTTTTTAATGTTGCGATACTCAGCAATAGAGTTTATTAACTTAAAAATTTATGATATGCTGTCTGTATATCATATATGCATATTTATATAATAATA